AGACATGTGTCCTCTTTCCTCATTAAGGGCCACAGACATTTCAACTGTCTCTTCTTGATGTTAAGTATAAGTATCCCTGACTTTTACAGAGTTATCTAAACCTAGCTATTTTTTAAAGAGTTTTTGATGGTTGTTTTTATTTTTATATATAGGGAGGCAGTAAATGTGTTAATATTTGTGTCTGTTAAAATGTCAAGGAAATATGTGTGTGTGCGTGCGCGCGGTATCCAGCGGTCTATTGGGACCATGGATCTGTCCGTTGTGCATGCAGAACGCCCTCTTCTCTCTCCGCGCCACTGATGTTGTCAATACAGCTTGGTACCAGCGTCGTCGCAGGAGTTGCCAAAACGAATCATGTCGGACAGTTTTAGGGACTCCAGCTCCGGAGTTGTGTTCAGAGTTGTCCTTCTCCTAGATTGGTTACCAACCAGGGCTACAGAGACCCGACTGTCCTACTATTTAGCCATAGTCGGAGGCTTTTTGAATTCATTCTCTATCGACCGGTTGCCACCCAGTAGTCTGTCCTTCGATTTACCCATAGCTTGAAAAGAAAAATTCCAAGAGTATTAGCGCGTAAGGAAATGTAATGTACTTGTAGAGATTTTCCAAGCGTAGCTTAGATGTGGCACAAGGCCGAAAGTATGGGGGCATCCAGTGAGGATCGAACTCACTTTTCAGTAGTAACTGATCTAGCGAGACAAGCTTGCTAACCATTACACCACGCCGAGGTGCCCCAATGTAATGTACTTGTATGTGTGTGTATGGCATCCAACGCTGGATGTCACACACATACACATACGTTAATTATAGTAACTGAAAATTTTGATAAACCTGTTGACTACTCGTCTAAATCATAGTCGTTCAGGTTCTCACCTTGAAGTCACGTACGTCAATGTTTGTCATGGCCGTAATTCGCTACCATGACTCTCCTCCAGTATTATACACACTTGTCGTGTACCTAAGCTATTTTTACCTTGAAAATTTGACAATGATAAAAAAGATCTGAATGAGCAATAATGCAGTTCGTAATTTAGAGCGCCTCTTGTAGCAAAATGGTTAGTTAGCTCATGTGGTGTGTTTGGCAAACGATCCTCTTTGAATGTCCTATTACTGTCAAAGTCAGCGAAAACCACGCAGCTAAACTTAATTATATCTCATGAGGTCCACTGGGAATAAATGTCCTGGTGATTTTAATAGTCCAACTTATTGACATAACTGAACACAGAAAAGATATTTTGTTAGATTTATCAGTTCAGTATATCATTAGTGGATGTAGCGGAAGGCTTATCAGCGTAGGAAGTGGACAGGCCAGTCTATTGGCTTCACTTTCATATTAATGCCCTTGAGAAAAGCTTGAATTCGTCTCTCATATACCATGGGTTACGTAGCCGTGTAGATTGGTCTCTCTAACATTGATCGCCTACGTGCTGATGGGACATGGCATTATTTTAAATGTCAATGCTAAACCGTCATAATATTATCATCATTACAAAAGCAAATTGATTTTGTGACGAAATATGATGGAAACTTCTTCCGAGTTATTTTATAAAGGGAAAGATTCCTAAAGTAGACATGCCTGTGTAGAAACAATCAACAGAGAACTCTCTCTTATATAATAAAAATATAATGTTAAGGTATGCTATAGTCAAAAGTTAAAGTGCTCAGTATCGAGGATAGAGCATATGTAAATATAAAAATGGACAGTGATGTCAGCACCCAGAAGCGACTGTGTTTCATGCTTAAACGCAATCATCAGGCCTGATGATTGCGTTTAAGCATGAAACAGACTGTCACCGCTGGATGTTAATTTCAGTGTCCACTCATATATATATATATATATTACAATGAATCATTCATACAAAAAGTAAATTAGTAAAGTTAATGATATAAAATGGCGAAATCCCTTCGCTAACAAAATTTTTAAAAATGCATTAACCTACCAATCATTCGATGAATGTTATGATCCTTGTTTTTTAAAATTATAAGTTGTATACGGTCTTTCTTAGATACGCAAGTACTTTCGACAGTACATCGAATGTATTTCGCCATTTTATATCATTTTATGTTTCAACTGTCAATCATGTTAGATGAGGCACTCACTCATAGAAATGTCCGTTCTGTATTGTAATATAATCCACAGGTTGGCTCTGTGGATGTTGGGGTAATGTGTGCTGAGTCATTTGGCTACCCACACGCGCATATATATATATATATATATATATATATATATATATATATATGTGTGTGTGTGTGTGTGTGTGTGTGTGTGAAGAAATATAGTCTTAAGGTGTGCTATATTTATGGGATAAAGTGCTCGATATCAGAGATAGAGCGTGTGTAAATATAAAAGTGAACATAGAAGTCAACACTTAGAGGCGACAGTCTGTTTCATACTACCACATTTTAAATCAAAAATAGAAGAAAAGCAAAATCAGAAAAACATGATTAACAAATCAACCAATAAGAAACAGTTTTGGGGCGGGCTTTGAACCACTCACAGACAAGAAATCGTTAATGTCTGGATGAGAGTTTGCATCATAAAGAGTTTACAAGCCTTTATTCACTAATAGAAATGTTACAGGTAAAAACTACTTGAACGTGTTGAAATGTGCAATATCTGTACTGCTTGAAGACCATTTTTCGCCACAATTCTCTAAAGAGTTTACCTTCTAATTATTCACTTGTCATCAGAGTTATCGGACAGAATAATATTAACTTGATGGCTTAGAAGAGAGGGACCACTGAACTGCACACTAAAACTTTCTGATATGACACCATTAGATTTTTTTTTGTTTGGATCTATATTGGAAATGTTGTTTACAACAGAAAATCGGAAATGCTTCAGGATTTGGAAAATTTCAGTGAAATAAGATAGGCTCGATAAAACTAGAAAATTTTTCATGGAAATTGCGAATAACATTTTGAAAATGATGGCTCATGCGTTGAGCAATAGAAAAAATACATTTCTTTTTATCATTAATTTTGTTTCGAAGCAAAACGCGATAAGGTTTGATTTATGTTGGGTTTCAAATATTATAAAATAACTCCAACGCTTGTCGAAGCTAGGATTTATATGGATAATTTATTTAAACCGTATTTAATTAGATTGCAAGGCCCCATCTATGTAATCCAGTTGTATGAATACAATACATCTACAGTGTCGTATGCGCAAAGACAAGACTGCCACTGTAATTAATTCACATGTTCCTTGTTCAAAGAATTATGCCTTTATGGAGAAGGCAAAAACTGACAGTGATTTCTTTACGCTCCTTCCCTTTCTATGTTCTAGGATTTGTTTCTTTTCATTCCATCTCATCCTCTTCTTCTCTTTCCATGCCGTCTCGCACGTCTTCTACTCTTTCCATTAGATCTTCAATCCGATGTTTTAATACTTGATTTCTTTTTTTCTTTTTATGTGCTATGCCCTTTCAGGATGTAGGCGATCATGGCTCTCCACCTCCCTCTATTCCTTGCAGCTCTCAACAAGTTCTTTCCCTCTGCTTCCCACCGCCAGACCACGTTCTGTCGCCCACTTGCTTAAGTCCGCCATGTATGGCACGCGTTGTTTTCCCTTGTCTCACTTTCCATCTATTTGACCCGTGAGTATCAGATTTTCCAAACCCTCCTTCCTCATTATGTGCCCCAGAAACTTCAGCTGCATCTGCCTGATGTTAAGTATAAGCCTCCTCCTTGTTTGCAACCTCTCTACGACATCATCGTTGCTCACATGCTCGGTCCATGATATCCTTACCATCATTCTGTAGAACCACATCTGTCGCCTCTAGTCTCTTTTTCATCTTTGAGAAAATCGTCCAACATTCAAAGATACTTGATTTACTAGTTTGAAACATGCAAATTCCTTTCCCTTATGTGAATTTCTGTTGACGGATTTGTTTTACGGCATATCAACCTATTGTAACTTATTAAAATATTTAAATTTCAAATATTTTCTTGCATTTTTAATAATAAAAAAAAAACAAACATTGAGCTAATACAAAATACAAAGTCAAAAATAAAACAAAAACTTAACGTTAAACTTTACATATTTGTATTTATATACATTTAAAAAGTCCAACCGATTTTTAAAATTTTAACAATGTCAAACCAATTAGCATTTTACAAAGATTTTTTAGTTTGGTTGTTCTGTAATATTATTTACGGACTTGTTTGAAGGCAATACATTCTTTGTCAGTATATGCCTGAGTTTCTGAACTGTGGCGTTATTATTTACATACAGTGTGTTTTCCTCGCTTTTAATAATATTATCACATCTTGGCCGTAACTCACTCCGAGTCCACGGTCTTAGTATTAAAGCGGTGGTTCGAGAATTTGGTGACATAATAATTGTGAGTTCAATCCCTTGGCCAGGCAGAGTGTACTTGAACTCAGCGGAAACGGGGAGAGTAATAACCGAGTGATACTAAATAAGAACTAGATGAGACATATCTCCGGACATGAACAGCGGAATTAGAAAAATCTAATCCTGTAGATTAAATGAAGGGTCAATTCGAAATTTCCTGTAGGTTACCCGGATCGACCAGTACTTGAAGAAGGCCGGGGGAATCAACGGCCGAAATATTGATAATAACAATAAAGATGTGGACAATAATCCATGTGTATATAGTATAAATAATGCAAAGTTCTAGAACTCGTGTGTAAAGATATATGGATCAATGTTATCGCGTTCCCAGAGGAAGGTACGTCAACATGACTGCAGTGATGACCCATAAACACGATGATCTGGAATTGGAATGAAAGCGGTAATGGCCCATACTATGAAGCCATCATAAAATTTCAGAATGTAAAATTAGTAAATACTAAACGCATCAAATACTTCGGCGTATGGATAAGTTATAAATACTTTAGTTTTCAGGATAATGTTTTGCTTTTGTAACAATTTGTAGTGTAGGTGCGAAAACAAACTCTATCACTGCCTATTCTATGATCTATTCCTGCAATACTAGTTATCTACTCGAACAACGTTGTCAGATCAAGACCATATGACGCATTCGGTGGAGGACGGGGTGTATTCAACGTTTACACTCAAGTAAAATAATAATAATATTTATTAAGAATTTATTACAGAACATATCAAGTTTTACAGAAACATCGTTGACAATTATGTATTTAGTTACATAACAAATAAATAAAAATAATATAAATCTTGATGCTATATTCGATTTGTTGTTTGGTATTTTTCATTTTCTCCTTTGTCATTGGCAGCATTTTAGAATACTTTGGTTGCAATGCTAAGTTTCCGAAGTTGAACAAACTGGAGCTATTTCGTTTATGCTTTGTTACCTCTCTTTTCCATTGCTTTTAGATCGCTTTCTTCCAGTCGTTTTGGTCAGCAATAGCGAAATTCTGAAATTTAGAATGATCTTATTCCATTTCAAAAATAAAGTCTGTAAAAAAGGAATATTTTAAATTAATATACGACCAAAAATAAAATACTTTTGACAAAAAAAACCTTAATGATTTCACTATAATTATGTAACAATAATGTAATGATATTCCGCAGACAAATCTTCAGTTTGTTATTTCATCTCATTGCATGGTTACGAACTATAAACCTGAATTGAGCTTGAAATATTGTGTAATCGGCTGTAATTTTTTGTAAAATACTTGAATATGATATAATGAATAATTTGCAGTGAAAAAAAGCAATTTTCGATTTTGAATACGCCTCTCCTCCACCGAACGCGTCATATAGATGTCACGCCTGGCGTCAAACTCATTAAGAAAAATATCTCAACTTCCAGCTATATACAACCGGTTTCTAACGTCATGGGTTAAAAATGATCTTGGCAAAGACCATCCTTCTTTGAAAACTGAGGACTGGCGCTACAGAATCACAAACAAATAACTCCACCAAATAACAGAAACCACATCACTTGAGGAATTTCAACAGCTACAATGGATATTACGTATAATTCGAAGAGAAAATAATGGTATAATCAAGATGTTAACATTCCACACTACTTTAAACAAAATGTTAGGAAGGAAACCGACATTAGTCCTGGGAAGAGCGATAGCAGGACTTGAGAAACCTATTTTCCTGAAAAATTGTTTGAAGAGGAAAATTTTATAAATTCCAAACGATATAAAGCACTGGTCAATGAATATCGAATATTTCCTTATAAGGAAACGGCTACTACTATCATTACCATTAGGGTGTGCGTGACATTTGATTGTTTGTTTTCTTTACGGCATATCAACCTCAATTGGTTATTTAATGCCGACAACACTTATTGTTGGTAATATTTCTTTTTCAAAAAAGTATTTCTGGCAATATTTAAAAAAAAATCTATTGCTGGTAATATTTTTCCAAAAGCAGTATTGCTGGTAATAATTTTTTTTTTTAAATGTATTTCTAGTATTAAACCTGATTTTACACTTTTCTAGTTTTTTTTAGTTTTTTTTTTTACCCCAATTTGGGAATTAACTATTTGTCCATAGCTGGGACCCTAACAGGTGCTACCACCACAGGTCAGGGTGAACCTAGGAACACCAGCAATTAAGAAGTCGCTCCACGCTCATCAAAACAACCTGGTTAGAGAACTTGCTGTTATATTTAGTTTATCCTCTTACCCAGGACGCGGATGTTGTTTATCGTCATACCCAGGACGTGTGAAATCTGACCTTTAATTTCCAAGTACAAATCTATATATTCGATTTCTAATATCACAGGTTTAATTTCTGCCTGAATTTCATAATTTACAGTCGGACTAATGACCTCGTCTTTGCTTCTATTATCACGAACTGATGACCGTTGTGCTCTCCGGCCTTTTTTAGGTTGTTCCGTGTAACCTTCAAGGAATTTCGATCGGGAACTTTTATTTGATCTACTGAAATATTTATTCTTGTCTAGGGATACCTCGACTATTTTTTTCCTACTGCCCAATTATTCCTCGTCCGGTTTCCTTGGCCAAGTAGTACATACCAGGCCAACAAATATATATATATATATATATATATATATATATATATATATATATATATATATGTGTGTGTGTGTGTGTAAGAAATTATTCTTTGTAACAAAATCACTTTGTAAATCAAGTTTTATTAACACTTTTGGTTTGATTTGGTTTACGGAATATCAACCTCAATGGGGCATTTAATGTCGACAAGACTTTTATTGCTGGCTATATTTTTCGTTCAAAAATGTATTGCTGATAATATTTATTTTCTTCAAAAATATATTGCTGGAAATAATTTTTCTTCAAAATATTTATTGCTGGTATAGTAACCTATTTATACACTTTCATAGTGTTTTGACTCCAGTTTGGTGGTCAACTATTTGCCCATAGCTGGGACCCTAACAGGTGCTACCACCCTGAGTCAGGGTAGACTTGGTAACACCAGCAAGTAAAAAGTGGTTCCACTCTCCTCAAAGCCTCCTGATCAAAGGCCTTGCTGTTGTACGTAGTTTATCGTCTTACCCAGGACACGGATGCAGTTCATGGTCATACCCTGAACGGCTAGTACGCGGGGGGCTTACAACGGCTGAAAGATTGTGAACATGGCAATGAAGATAACAGTCCGAATAAGGTAAATAATCACAATACCTCATCTCGAAGATATAGACGGATAAGAATTGGTGTTATTTCTTCTTTTTCTCCATAACTCATTTTCTGATGAAGCTTTAATAAAAGTGAAACGTTATATTGATTAGCGTTTCTTGTTCTTTATCTTATCATTCTATCGGATTCTGATCTATATTTGATATCAACTCATATATATGTGTGTGTGTGTAAATAACACCTTGACACAGATTTTACGGAATGTGTTCACAAAAATCTATATGCAGTAAAGTATGATACATTTCAATGTCATCATTTGCTTTAAACAAAACAATTAACCTAACGTGAAGAACGACTATTTTTTTGTTGTTGTTTTTTTTTTTCTGCATTTAATATTCCCAGCAAACATAATGGCTGCTAGTTGGTTAAATTCTAACTTCAAGTTTATTTTCATCCGATTAAATGTCGTTGCTATCGCATAAAATGATCTGAAAATGACAGTGGACACGGAATTTTTATTCTCAGAAGATAATAAAATCACTGGAGTTATTTTACAAAGCTCCTTAAATATTACCTTATTTGAAGTTTTAACTAATTTGATCAAGTTATTGAAAGAATGTCATGATTTTTTTTATGTTGTTTTTATTTTTAGACAACTTGTTTACTTCATCTTGCTCTTACGTTATGTGACGTCATATTGTCCACATAGGTTAAGGCGTCGTCCATGAAAGATAAACTTCATATTATGGGATGCAATTTTGTTTTATCAGAAGTAACATTTTTATTCTAGATCGAATACTCTGCGAGCAGTAAAGTGTAATAAAAGTTATACAATAAGAGGAAGAAAAAGCTATTAGTTAATTAATCACAAAATGTTCGTAAATATGAAGACAAAACACTGAAACGAATATGTAACGCCGATTTGGAGTTGCTTTTTAATAATTCGTGTCGAACAGGATTCACAGTAATTTCAGAATTCGAACAGCATAACAGACTTATTCGAAAACGTCGATGTCTATGACTGATTATCCTTCATAAAAGAAATGTGTGTTCTAAAATATTAAGACTTGACGAGACATTACTATTAAGAATTTTCAAATTAACTAGACATATATAAATGATATTAATGGTAATTAATATAATACTTTTATTTAAAGCAGATTATAATGAGTTTTTTTTTAAAGCACAAACATTTAAACTAATGCTTTATTTTTATATGTTACTTTTATACATAATGTGTATGTTCCGATTCACATACATTAGTAAATACTGTATGTTGGTCTAGAGTTGGAGATTCGTCTCCAGCTGTGCTGGTCAAACTCTCTGCCTCTAAGCAGAGGGGATCCCCAGGCGAGGCTATGTCGAAGGGCAGAGTCTCGTCTCGGAAAACAGTTACCCGACCCCGTTTTATACGGTCTACAGAGAATTTGGGGCCGAGCCTACGGGCTCAGATACTCCTCTTTAAATTGGGCCTTGTGCTATATTTGAACTCGTGGGGCGATTGGTAGATATCCTAGAGTTGGAGTGAAATTAACTTGACTCACTTGACCACTTCTTCTACGCGCCGCTGGCGAATCTTATGTGTGTTGTTCTTGTCCTAAGTATTATCGTTCATTACCAACTTTCGTTTGATTATTCTATTCAGTAACCTTCCCTAGGTTACAAGTTTAAATTAGCTGTAAAGGCCATGCAACATTCACAATTTTGAATAGATGATGATAAATAAATCTGAGATCTCGTTAACCTCCCAACGTATTCATCTTCTGGCTTCGTCATCGTCTTCTATGTACCGTGTTTCTTCAGAGTGTTGGCGATCATGGCTCTCCACAATTTCCTGTCCTTTGTAGCTCTTATTGAATTTTGTCTTTTTATTATTCCTCCTAAATGTTATTCCATTATCTATTTACTCGAACCCCCTAGGTAGGTTATGCAATATTTTTCTATGTCCATTCTGCTTTCAATCTGTCCTGTAAGTATCAAAATTTCCAAGGCTTCTTTCTTCATTAAGTGCCCCAGAAATTTCAACTGCCTCTTCCTGGTGTTAAGTATCAGTGTCCTTTCTGGCGCCATCGTCTCTAGAACTTCGTCGTTGATCACATGTTCAGTCCATGGTATTCTCAGCATCCTTCAGTAGAACCACATTTCTGTTCTTTCGTCTTTTCATCTGTGATGTGGTTGTCCAGCATTCACTGACATATAGGAGGACTGATACGACATAACAGTTCAGTACTCTTTTTCTTTGTCTAGGGATATTTTTTTCTGTTTCTTAATACTTGATTAAAATGTTTATGCCTTTGAATTACGGTTCTTTTTAGGATTGACTTGACATATCAGACATCTTGAATTTATGAAGTCCGTTAATAAGGGGTTGCCCTCACCCAGGCAGTATTGGTTTGGTTTGTTGTGTTTTACGTCATATCAACCTCATTGGGTTATTTAATGTCAACTTTTTGTTCCTGGTAATAATCTGTTTTGGCAAAAATCTATTTCTGGTAATATTTTTTCCTCAAAAATGTATAGCTGGTAATAGTTTTTCTTCAAAAAATATATTGCTAGTAATAGTTTTTTTTCTTCAAACATTTATTTCTGGTAACAATTCTTTTACAAAGTATCTCTGGTATTAAAACCCATTTTTACGCTTTTATAATGCTTTTTACCTCAGTTTTGGGGTTAACTGTTTGCCCATAACTGGGACCCTAACAGGTGCTACCCCCGCGGGTCAGGGTGGACCTGGCAACACCAGCTATTAAGAGGTGGTTCCACGCTTCTCAAACCCTTCTGATCAGAGGCCTTGCTGTTGGACGTAGTTTATCGTCTTACCCAGGACGAGGATGCAGTTTATCGTCATACCCTGGGCGGCTAGCACGCAGAGGTTCCGGAGAGTGAAATTAAGTATAGTGGGGATAGGGGAAAGGAAAAAGGGACAGAAATCAAGGCAACAGAAGATGATGATTGACATTGCATTTAAGTTTTGGAAGAGTGTACTTCTCAAGGTGGAGGTAAAGTATAGGGAGGAAGTATTGCATAGCGGCTTGGATTGAGGAATCGGTGAGCCGAGTTCGAATTCCAGTCGAAACCATTACAATCACTTACGTGCTAATACCCCTGAGAATGGTATGAATCCTCTTCGTTCTCCTTCCGGTTATGAGTAAATAGCAGAACAGACTGGATTCTATAGCCTTGGAAGACAACTAGAAAGAAATGGCATCCTACTACGATGTTCATGTATCTTTTTTCATGTTTTTCTTCAAAAATCTATTTCTGGGAATATTTTTCATTGATGAAATCTATAGCAGGTCATTTTTTTTTTCAAAGAATACATAACTGTTTGTATTGCTGGTATTCTTTATTTTAAGTATTGCTGATAATAATTTTTTCTTCAAAAATTATTGCTGGTAATTTTTTTTATTTCAAAGTATTTCTGGTATGAAAACTTATTTTTTTACACAAGTTTGGGTGTTAACTATTTGCCCATGGGACCGTAACAGGTGCTACCACCCCGGATCAGGGTGGACCTGGGAACACCAGCAATTAAGCGGTAGTTCCACGCTCCTGAAAACCTCCTGATCTGAGGTCTTGCTGCTGGACGTAGTTTATCGTCATACTCAGGACGGTATATATATATATATATATATATATATATATATATATAATAAAAAGGCTTAAACACTAATATTCCATGGTCAAAATTTATTCCATTGGAATCGTAAATATGATCCAATTCATTAGACCTAAAAATTCAAAAAGAAAACAGAAAAAAAACAACTCCAGAAATAAAAATAGAATTTAGAGAGAGGGTAAGTGTGAGAGTGTGGGACGAATGTTAGAGCTAAAGAGAGGGGTAACAGACGAGAGAAGGTGGGAGATTAAAACTTAACAGAGAAAAATTTTAGGGAGGTGAGTGGAAGAGCTTTAAGTTAGAAAAACATGAATGTTGTCGGATGTCCAATACATTAAAGATACATTTCGTGGTGACATACACACCATAGACGATCTAATGTTAAAGATCAGAATAAGAGAGAGGGAGAGGAAAAGAAAAGCTAATTATATCGTTACTCTGTCCTGGACATTGAGTTCTACCTGGATTCTATCCTCTTGGAATTTTTTTTATTCATAAAATGTACATGTATGTGTATGCACCTATGTATATATATTTACATATTTTACATATGTATGTGTATATTTATCACTAATATTTCTCTCTCTCTCTCTATATATATATATATATATATCATTGAGGCATGTGTTGTTAAAGGCTACGGGATTTTTTCCGTTAAAGAATCTTTCTGTTTTTTTTTTTCTTGCTTTCTCACAAGGTTTTTTTTTAATATTTGGGTAGAAGTTACTGAAAGGAGACCCTAGTTTTGCCAAGTGCTTTCGGTTTTCGTCAACTGTCATCATAGCTGTATGTTTCGGTTTGTTTATTATTTTATTTTATACATAATATTTTGGGTGTTTAGGCAGTGTAACCTACTTCAAATCAAAACATACAGCCATGATGACGGTTGACGATATCCGATAGCGCTCGGCAAAAACTCCAAAGACTAGGGACTTTTTTCAGCAAGTTAAACCCAAATAATAAAAAAAACCTCTTGCGAGAAAGCAAGAAAAAACAGAAAAAATAGATTATTAAAAGGAAAAGTCCCGTAGTCTTTAACAACATATGCCTCAATGACATGCTGCCAATATATATATATATATATATATATATATATATATATATATATATATATATATATATATATGCACGGTACTTATTGGAAAGTGCTCAATATCAGTGATAGAGCTAACATATTCAGGTGTATTCAGTTTGTCTGAGGATTGCAAAAGCGTGAAACCCAGTGTCACAAACTCATATCCATACACCTGAATATATATTATTTTTTAATTATATTTTTAAAATCAATTTAATTTCTCTTAGAACTATTTCAAAATACTCATCCACTTTACATATTCCAGTTTCTTTTAAGTTTGTTGTTTTGTAATATTTTAAGGAGATTGAATTAAAATTGCTGCAGTATATCAGGATGTGTTTTATGGTGAATGACTCTTGGCATGCCATACATACCAATTTGTAGTGCAAGATTCGGGCGGGGATTCCCAAACTGAGCCATAACACTACGCTGAGGGCGTTATGAACTTTCAAGGGAGCACTCAGAAGTTACATCACTTGAATACTACCAAGAACAGTAACAACTAAAATGGATAGCACATGTAAGTAGAAGAGCATAATCAAAAAGTTAGCATTACACACCACTTCAAATAAAAGGTTAAGAAGGAAACCCCCATCAATACTGGAAAGAGCGAAAACAGATCCGGGGTTTGAGCATTCTACACCACTTCAAAGAAACGGTTAGGAAGGAAACCTCTATCAATACTGAAAAGAGCGAAAACAGGGATGTAGGGGGGTCAATTTAGAAATATTCTTATATGACGTTATTTCTTAAAACTTATTTTTTTCAGTTCGTTATCGGAACCGTTTCTCCTTCTTTATGTGTGGTCTACCTTCAGGACGTAGGAGATCATGGCTCTCCACAACATCCTCTCCCTTGTAGCTCTTAATCAGTTCTGTCTTTCTGTTATTTCTCCTAAACCTTGTTCTGTCATCCATTTACTCAAGTTCACTATGTTATGCGTTGTTTTCCTCTGATTCTCACAGGACAGATTGAAAGCAAGAAAGACATTTTCCAATCCCTCTTTCCTCGTTATGTGTCTAGAAACTTCATCTGTCTCTTCCTGATGTTAAGTATAAGTTTCCTTTTTGTTTTAATTTTCTCTAAATCTTCGAACCATTGTATACTCAGCAGCCTTCTCTAGAACCACATTTCTGTTGCTTCAAGTCTCTTCTGCTTTGAGGAGATTGTCCAGCACTCACTACTATACAGGAGAGCAGTTATCACGTAACAATTTAATTTCCTTGTTTCTAGCGAAGTTTGTTTTTTTTTCTATTTTTTACTACTCTGTGTAGCTTTTGGAATACAACTTTGAAACCCGAAGGCGTATTGGGATAGCCAGCGTCATACTTTCGGTCCTCTATTAAAACACTTCCTAGATACTTAAATTTCCGCACTTGTGTGATTTTGATAGCTCTGATTTTCAGTTCGTACTTGGGGCTCATCTTTTTATTAACAACCATATATTCTGTCTTCTTACAATTGATAAGTCCTTTCTCCTCGCTTCAGTATCTTCTTCTTTTTAAGTACCTTCTTCTTCTTTTTAAGTATCTTCTTTTTAAGTATCTTCTTCTTTTTAAGTATCTTCTTCTTCTTTTTAAGTATCTTCTTCTTTTTAAGTACCTTCTTCTTCTTTTTAAGTATCTTCTTCTTTTTAAGTACCTTCTTCTTTTTAAGTATCTTCTTCTTTTTAAGTACCTTCTTCTTCTTTTTAAGTATCTTCTTCTTTTTAAGTACCTTCTTCTTTTTAAGTACCTTCTTCTTTTTAAGTATCTTCTTCTTTTTAAGTACCTTCTTCTTCTTTTTAAGTACCTTCTTCTTCTTTTTAAGTATCTTCTTCTTCTTTTTAAGTATCTTCTTCTTCTTTTTAAGTACCTTCTTCTTCTTTTTAAGTACCTTCTTCTTCTTCAAGATTTTTGTAGTTTTCTGTGTCTGGTATCAAAAAGAACTCCAGATTACAAATTTCATTTTATTTTCTTTTACCATTCGAAATCTCGTTGTATGAGTATATTTTTTTAGCTTCCGTAGGGGGATCAATTTGTTTTTTTGTTTGTTTGTTTTTTTAAATCAGTATCAACCCAAGCAAGACAGTAATGCCACTAAAACATAAGGGGTTACAGGATATGGAAGAATTAGGAACAGCAACATTAATGATCAGAAGAAAGAGAAGCGAACAATCAGGTGGACAATAGATAGCGATTGATATTGCATTTAAATTTTTACAGATTAAAGTTGGCTGGAAAACATGGAGCTGGGAGGGAGTTCAACAAGCGAGAATTGCAAGAGAAGAAACTGTTAGCATAAAATTTACGGCTATATCTAGCCAGCTTAACTGCAAATTGATGAGCTCTCGATGCCAATCTAGATCTGCGCTTAAATTAAAAAAAGGCTAGGTACCATAACGAAGAGCCCATCCGAACAATTACCATGAAAGCAAGATAGAGAGCCAACCTTATGGCGGTGGGTAAGTGATTGCAGCCGAGACGCCAGATCAGGACTAATAATATTGCTGATTCTTCTTTGAATCTTATGAGAAACCTCTAGATATATAGCGGCGGTACCGGACCAGATATGGAAGCAATATTCTAAGCATGGACGAATGGTGGATTTATAGATATGCAAGATAAATTCTGAAGAGAAAAATTCTCTTGCCTAGCATAGTAAACCTATAGTGAATTATTATTTCTAGTCTGTGTGTCTATTGAACAATTCCCGCTTTTTAGTTTACAGATATTTTTTGTTTAAAATTTTTATTCCTGCATTTGTTTAACACATTAATTATTTTGGGGGACGGAGGGTTTTAGAAATGGGATAAGGTGAAGTAAAATTTATTTTTATAAAAAAAAATCCAATTGCCAACGGCTTAAATCCCCCATTTATTTAATTTCGTCGATATTGTAATGGAATGTCCCACACTCCCCATCGCCTATGTGGACTGACTATATCAGTAGCTATATATAGTAAGCACAGGATATACCTGGGGGTTTGCTTCGGGAATTACACGGGCTCGGTTTTGTCCCGCATTAAAAAAAAATGGCCTTGTGCCACATCCTGCCTTGCGGGGAGGTAAGGTAAATAACCTTGCTTGGGGTTTTAGTCGGAGATTCGTCTCCAGTTGTACTGGTCGAACTCTCTGCCTTCGGGTAGAGAGGAACCCAGACAAGGCTATCCCGAAGGGCAGAGTCTCGTCTCGAGTGGTAGACAGCTATCCGACCCCGTGTATACGAGGTCTACGGGGAACTTTTCGGTTTTGCCCCGCATTAAAAAACGGCCTTTTGCCACATCCTGCCTCGCGGGGAGGTAAGATAAATAACTTTGCTTCGGGAATTACTAGCCTGCCACCCGATTCCCTGTCTTTCAGTAGTGTATTTATTTACAATAAACCTCTCTTTCATCGACGCGCTTGTTGCTGTTCCTTCACTCGAGTAACACCTTTGTCTGTAAGGATACAACAGTCGAAAATATTTCAATTCTAAAAACATGCTTCATATCAGTTTCGCATTTCTTAATGATTAGATTCTTAAGCTTTATTGAAATTATAAATCATCATATTCTAAAAATTAATTTGAATCCTAACAAATCCGTAATATTTTAATCGAGTAACGCGCCGTCTTTTCTCGTAAGAAAGGATCAAAGATACGGTAATCCTCGATAGAATGCAGTCGTTCCTTGGCGAGCGGCAAACTTCGACAATATACCTGCATTTTCACATAACGATCATTTTCATATTTATCCGCGATAAAATCTGATATTCTTAATGTGTATAATGGTAATGATAATATTATAATCTGTATAATGGTAATGATATTAGCCGTTTCCCTCCAAAGAAGCATTTGGCATTCGTTGACCGAGCAGCCAGTGCTGCTTTCCGTTGAAATTTATAAAAATCCTTCTCTTAACCCTTTTCTCCGCCAATTATTTTAGGAAAAAGTTTCATTTTCGGACGATTTTTTTTTAATTTGTTTTCAATATAGTAACTAAGAAACTGAGGCACCTTGAAGTACGCGAACGGTGGCTAACACCTCTGCCAGATATAAGAGTTGACAATTGAATTCGTTTCAAGCTCAGAAGGGCATAAAAAGAATCAAGATCAACGTATAAACACGTCTGTAGTCGTTTTTTTTTTTTAATGTTATGTTTTGAACGTGTTTATTCGTCCGTGTCTTTCGGTTAAAACGTATATACACGTCTACGCCGGGGAAGGGGTTAAAAGACTTCTTTTTTTTTTTAGGAAACAGTTTTCTCAAGTCCAGTAGCGTTTTATCACTCTTTCAAGTACTGATGGGAGTTTCCTTCCGAACTTTCTATTTGAAGTGGTGTGGAATGTCCACATCTTGATTATGTCCTTATTTTCTCTTGCTATCCATTTTAGTTGTTGCCGCTCTTGGTAGTCCTCAAGTGATGAGGTTTCTCTTATGTGATACAGTTCTTTGTGATTCTATAGCACCAGTCCACAATGTTCAAGGAAGGATGATCTTTGCCAATGCCCTCAGGCTTTACTCAAAACCTTTTTTCACCAGTGATGGCGAGTGGTTGTATATAGCTGACAGTTTAGATATTTTTGAACGGGGTGCTTCATCTATAGTGACATAAAAAACAAAATTGAAATAATTTTCTTCTGTAATTCAATGTATGCCGTAATTAAAATAAACTATAATTCTAGGCTAATACTACACCCTCAGAATTTTCTATCAGTCAGTGATGTGCCACGCGTGATACACGCTTAGGCGAGCAGGGCACCTCGGCGAGGTGTCATGGTTAGCAAGCTTGTCTTGCTAGCTCAGTTATTACTGAAAAGGTAGTTCGATCCTCACTGGATGTTCCATGCTTTCGGCCTTGTGCCACATCTAAGCTAAGCTTGGAAAATCTCTACACGCTTATTTTTCGATATATGGCGATCATCTTTTTTCCCGCAGTAGACCAGTTGGCATATTTACGGGAGAAGAAGAGGATTCATACCTTTCCCAAGGGTATTAGCATGTAAGTGAATGTAATGAATTTGACTGGAATTCGAACTCGGCTCTCCGATTCTTCAACCCGAACCGTACCTCTTATTCTACTCTCTTTAATTATTACTTTCTTGAACAGTAATATTTTTGTCCGATAACCTAACTCGGACTTTAAAGGTCATAAGAAATATAAAACACCTTTAAGGCCCATGTAAGCCCGTCACCAAGGTAGGGGCTGCTAAGAGGCCCTCCCCAACGATAATTCTTTGCCCAGCTACCTGTGAAAAGGATGTAAGCTTGTGTACTAATTTTTACGTTTATCAAACTTGTTTCCAGCGAACAATGCAGTTTCACTTCCTGTCGTGCATATTGGTCAAGGCAAACAAAAATAGTATGATTTAAAATAAAGTAAGAAATTGCTGCTTTTTATTTATAACTTTTTCCTATCTGGGAACGAGTCACTGTGACCCTCAAACTGAGTGTTGAAATTCACATATTTGTATTAACATATTCGTAGCCACCCAGACACACACACCCGATTTAAAGACCACCTACACTCCACTATAAAACTAACTGACGGTGGGCCTAGACCCAGATTTTTTTTTTTACTCACAATTATATCAGCTACACTGTCACTGACCCCCACAAGTTGCTATTAAAATCTTACTAAGCTTTTGCCCTCTGTATATTTCGGATTTTACAAGTATACACAAATAAACTGTATACAAAATATATTAAATATATATCAAGAAATTAAATTAGATGAACAGGTATATGATATAAAAAAAAACAGTTATTCTTCCTAACAAAGAGTTAGTTGTACACATAAAAATTACTTAAAAATAGTACAAGATGAGGACCGCTGTAACTTAGTTAAGTTCTAACCATGAGCTATGCAGGCAAGAACTCTAGTAGCTAACTAGTTAAGTGGAAGGTCCAGCAGTTAATAAATAAGTTTTTATGTGGTCGGCATGTGAGATCTTCGTATTATTGTATTCAACATACCTATCTTTCACCTCCGTCCGCACCCTACACCGACTGCTCAACCCACTGCCAGTCCACCCATTGAGACTGCGTCTTGTTGTCGTCTGCAGAATGAACAGATAGGTGACCGAGCATTTGTTTAGTCTCCTTCGGGTAGCCGAGGTGTGCTGTTTTTAATGATACCTCCTTTTTTAGTATAGCCTATCTGAAGGCGAGGAAAAAAAAAAAAAACAATCATTTCCGCCAAACCAAACTTCAGTGTCTGTCTATTCATGGTTGTGTTACTTTAATAACAGGAAAGTAAAAACATCCAAGTTGACGCGTGAGTAAGTTTGTGGGCAGAAAACCTGTTTTGTTTTTTGTTGTTTTTTTTTTGTTTTTTTAATAAAAAAAAAAACTACTCTCCTCTACACACACTGCCGCTGCTGCTACAACTACAAAAATCAAAACAACCACTACTATAGCGAAAGTGCTAAGGATTTTACACAACAACGAAGTGGTCGGTTCATGAAAGCTATCCAAAAGAAAACATTTGGAAATCTAGTTCGATTCGAACTCACTACAAAGTACACAGACCTGTACCAAAGTAAACTAAGGATTATTAAATGCTTTTAAAAGGATTACCTTCTCTTTTTTCTTTTTAATCAACGAAGCAAAAAGAAAAAGAAACAAACAGGAAAAGGATTATAAGAAAGTTACGGCAAAGGAATATTTTAAAACAAAAAGAATTATTAAAACGTATGCGTGAATGAAAGAAAAACGGAATAAGTAAAACGAAAAAGGCTGATAAAATAAAAATACAAAGTCTATACAAGTAAATTTACAAACACTACTTTTCAGAAACTTGTGACAGTTGAAGATTGTTTTTTAGAGCGACGAATGATTACGCAAACACAACAATCGGCAAATGCCTCGCTTGAGAAAATACGGAAGGACTACAGTGATAAAACCGATTTATAAACATAGATACATCAGACCATTAAAACTAAAACAAAAATTCCCTCGTCCGTGTGCAACTAACTCTGCTAACAGATAAGTGTATGAAAATCTTCTCTGATCTTTTGATTATTAATCAAATGTAACGAAATTTCTCAGAAACAATCCGTACACAATTTCTATATATGCATCTATATTTTACATTACATATCACTTAGTTAAAACTACAGCAAAACAATAGTTACATTGTGAGTGATCCGTAACACAGAACCGTCTTTAATTGTCTTGGATTTTTTTTTAAAAATTCACATCAACACTATTTTCACAGAAAAATATCAAGACGTTGGATACTTTTTCTAAAGCTCCCACTGATCATCAATATACTCGTATACTTGTAAAATTTAACTGTACCTTAAAGGTTAAACTCCGCATTTGATAGAAATTGGACTATAACACCCAATCCCTCCTAAAAAACAACAACAGTGTGCTTTTGTTTGTCTTTTACCCACCTGTATCTACAACCATGCGTATGTGAGAATTTAAGCAGGCGTGTAGGTGTAAAATATGCCTACTTATTAGAGTAGCTGTTCAAATGAAGCGTCTCAGTGTGTAAGTTGGTGTGTCGTAAGTGTGTTAGATATATTCATACAATCACAATAGAAGTGCACATTATACTTATTTCAATTTCATTGAACTCGGTTAAGCCAGCTCCCAGCTGTTTGGAAAAGGGAAATCGTTTCATTGCAACTCCCACGGTATCAAATCGTTAGTGGAAGTCGAACAAAACATTAATTTCTTCCATTTTCTTTCTTGTACCGGAAACCCGCTATAGCCTGTATTAATAATGCTGGTCGCTTTTAAAATCAACTGGGAACTTATGAAGGACGTGGCGTTAGGTCTAAGGAAGACAATACCAAGCTTCGTCAGCCAGAGGAATTATTTGTTAGAGATGGGACTAAAGCAGGAGTAATTTTTTTTTCTTCTTCCTTTTACATTCCCAGGAGAAGAGACTTAAAAACAAAACAAAAAGAGTTTATACAAACTTACAAACTATACGGGTGCTATTTGAAATACCGACAGCCTAAAACGCTAACTTATACACTTTATAAAGACAGTAATAACATATTATCGTCTTTGATGTTTACTGTTATTGGCAACTTATCAAGTATGGCTGTAGACAAAGAGGTGTTACGAAACAAGAAAGAGACATTCATTAACTCTCATAAAATCTACCCAAACGACCTGACTATCGGTTCGATCAACGCCGAGATGTTTGATCATTCACCAGTTGCTGTTTCGGGCCACCCTATCAAAAGAGAGACGATCCAAAAAAGGATACCTAACACAGAATCCGAAAACTTTGTTCTCCTTCATGATATCAAAACCAATCAAGGAGCGAAGACAAAAGGGCGGTTCCAAAATGATGACATCAAAGATGCCAGACGGTATCATTTTTTGAGCAAGTCCGAACCAGTCATTCACCGTAACAACCTCACCGACCATAATAATAATAATAGCAATAACAATCTTTCCCGTTCTTTGAAACAAGACGTTCCAAGGATCGTTGTTACGAACCCGCGTGATAAAAACGGTTCGGATGGACTCGTTCTTCGCAACCCAGTTTCCAAGTTCATATCCCGCCATTATGGGCACAGTTCCTATCATGGTGACGTTTACACTTTATCAGCTTATAATACTCCCTCAAACGATCAATGGCTCACGGAAAAATTCGATCCGGCTAATTACAAACATCGCAAGAGTTGCAATGTGTCGATTGATAACGATGCGGAAGAGGACCCGTGGGGTTTGTTAAACGTTCACAGTACTTTGAAAAAACGTTCGTCTTTGCCAGCCAATCAAATATCAACGTTTGATATGCTCGTTCGCAAAAACGGTTTCCGGATTAAAGGGAATAGGGAAAACAGTGTTTTGAATGAAGTGAAACGCGACGATGAGGACCAATTTCTTGAGCCCAGGCCGTATCAGACGGTGCCAAAGAAAAAGAACGTGGGCGTTGGGAACTGTTTCAGAAGCATTACTACCAGTACTTCTTCAGAAAATCCAGATACACCGAGCAGTTTCCCTGCTGTTTGTACCGGAGATGAAGACAACAGTTTCCCTACCGCTGCACTAAGACGATGTCACAACATATTACCGGACGAAAACCACGGACACAGTCCGCTAAGAAATACGTGCCCACCGGATATTTTACGCAAAGCTCCTGAATTCCAATACGACATCTACAGCCGTCCAATGAGTAGCTCAGTTAAATCTAGTTTTTCTAACAAGAAGAATACTAATAATAATAATAGGCAAAGTGATAACCTGGGTAATTCTTCACAAATGGTCCTTATGTTGTCATCTTTTAACAAACGGACTCCTTCCCCTACAACCGTTACTGGAATTCCAAAGTCTGAGTTGACCAAGTCATTTCAGACGATGGCTTCTCCGCCATCCAAAAGGGCTAAGAGTCCCTGTCAGCGGACTATCGATAGGGTTTCTCTTACAATTGAAAAGAGTAAATCAGAACCGGACTTGGAGTCCTTCTTTAAGAAAAATAAAAACAAAAGCAATAACAGCAGCTCGTCACTTAAAAATATTTTTCTTCCTTCTTCTCCCTCAGCTATGCAAAAAACGAAGTCTTCGCCATCGAATAAGATCTTGTCCAAACGCTGGAGAAATAAATACAAAGAAAACCCGAATAACACGACAGCAATATGGCGCCCGGAGGTAAGTAAGATCTTTATTCTTTTGATTGTAATATTGTTCGATTTTTGACAGGAAATATTTTTTTTTAATTTTTACTTTTGTTCACCCAGTACAAAGTCCATCAATGTTGATTTTGGTTGGTGGCATATCAACACCTCTATGGGTTATTTAATACCGAAATCTAAATATGAAAATTCAAACTTTTATAATTAATTCAAAAGAATGTAATTATTTCATGATTAAATTATAATTATTTTACTACAAAAAATTTATTGTTAGAAATTTTACCACAAAAATGTATTGTTGGTAATTTGTTTTATAAATATGTATTGCTGGTATTTTTACTATAAAAATAAATTTTTTTTCTACTTTTTATGTTTTAATTTTTTGTTGGGGGGGTCACTATTTGCCCAAAGCTGGGACCCTAACAGGTGCTACTACCCCGACACAGGGTGAGCCTAGGAACAACAATAATTAAGAGATGGTTCCTTGCTCCTCAAAAAATCCAATCTCCCGACCAGATGTCTTGCTGCTGGATATTAGTTTATCGTCATACCCAGGAGGCAATCAAGGTTGGGGGATTACTGAATTGTGGATGTTGTAAAAGGGTATACGGAGGAAGTAAGTGTTGCATATTATGAGGATGTGTTGGATAGATAACAGTTGATCCTCGACTTGAACAGGTTAAGCTTGCACTCTTTCAGTCATGACGACAAATACATTTAAACTGCTTTCTCGTGGTCAGCAAACTATGACTCTGGTGGCAACAAATGCAACCTGCTCACTAGAAATATTAATAAAGTTAAATGAGCAGGCCTGCTTAAAAAGAGATACTTTAAGCCTATGTGCCAGGCTAAGTAAAACTTAACTAGAAAGGTCCTTACTGAGTATTTCAAATTAGTTATTTGTCTTATAAGGAAAACAAAACGGACACTTATACTCAGAATTAGAAACAGTGTTGAAAGTTTGGTTGGGTTTGTTTTACGGCATATCAACCTCAATGAGTTATTTAATGCCGACAGATTTTTCATTGTTGGCAATATTTTTTTTCTAAAAATCTATTTCTGATAATATTTTTCCTTTGCTGGTAATATTTTTTTTCCAAAAATGTATATCTGGTAATATTTGTTGTCTCAAAAATGTATTGATGGTAAGATTTATTTTTACAAATTATTTCTGGTATTAAAACCTAGTTTTACACTTTCATTGTGTTTTGACTCCAGTTTGGGGGTTAACTATTTGCCCATAGCTGGGACCCTAACAGGTGCTACCACCCCGGGTCAGGGTGGACCTAGGAACACCAGCAATTAAGAGGTGGTTCCACGCTCCTGAAAACCTCCTGATCAGAGGCCTTGCTGTTGGACGTAGTTTACCATCTTACCCAGGACGCAGATGTAGTTTATCTTAATCCCTGTTCTTTCAACACTGTCCGTCCTGGGTATGACGATAGATAGCATTTGAGGTAGCAAAAATATTGTTCTACAGAAGGATGATGAGAATACCAGGGCCTGAATATGTTAGTTACAACAAAGTTTTGAGGAAAATGGAAACAAAAAGTACACCGAATCAGAAAGAGACAGTCGAAATTTCTCGGGCACATAACGAGGAAGGAGGACCTAAGGAATCAGACACTCACAGGGCATACTGAAGGCAAGATGGCCAGAGAAATTAGATTATGAAAATGGATGCCAGAATAGGGCTTGGGGGAGATACCGAAAAGACATCTGGCTAAGAACGACAAAGAATGAGAAGTTGCGGAGAGCCACAGTTGTCGACGTCCTGAAGGAGCAAGCCACACAGAAGAAGATGCCAGACGTAGATTCCAGGAAATCTAATGGACAGTGCGACACCCTTGACCATTAGTTAGGTGGAGTGAGATCGATTTGGTTTTGTATAAATATATATTCAACTGTGTAATTTTATATAAGTAATACACTTCTCAATGTATCTTGCTTCTACTCTCTTTCAAAATAGTAATTGATTTCATTTACGGAGAAATGTTTGCTTCTTTAATGTAATGTTTTACTTAAAAAAATCTAAATCCCCTCCCACCAAAAAAAATAATAATAGTAGATAATTATTTTTCGAATAAGTAAGGCTTGCTATAGTTTTTTGCTTTAAAATGATCAAATTAAATATGTTTAAATGTATCTTAATTTAAGTTTATTTATTTTATTTAGATGCTTTTAAGAATTGAATTGAGAATTTAGTTTTGAAAAGCGATTATGTTTAAATTTCAAGTTATATTTGTATCTGAAAGAAAAATAGTTAAGTAAAAATCAGGAGAGACAGACTTTACTTAAGGTGAATATTAATCGTGTTGAATATATTTTACGAATTTAACTGTATTTTATTTAAATTAATTTTCGAAAAAATAAGACTCGTTATAGTTTTTTGTTTTAATAAAAATTAATTTAAAATTAGACTTATGTTAGTTACAAACCAAAAAAAAAAACAATGAAGTTTATTTTTTAAAGTTTGAATAAAAAAAAAATAGTTTTCCATAAGATGGCCAAAAAAAAGTCAATAATGCACACACACAACTACCCTTTAGGGTGATACTGAGTCTGTATATATATTTATTTTGTCATAATTATTGTATTTTTTTAGTTTTAGCCGTAATACACACACATACTCGAATATTTGTATAAATCAATATTAAACTTTTTGTCAAATATTGTATTTAATATTCCTCTTTTAAATTTACTTCGTTGTTTTAATATTTAAAGTTACGTTTTTATTTACTATAAATGTGAAAATAAATTCAAGAGAAGAGAAATTTTAAAAATACATACATATATAGCGTTTCGAAAGTATCACTAGAGTTGAAAAGTAAAAACGAATGTCATAACAATCGGAAATAAGAGTTATAGCTTTTACTTTTTAATTCTGAGAATTTCGAATGCATTTTAATTTTAAAATATCTTTGTAAATACAAGTCATACGATGATAATATTTTGCTAAAAGCTAACTTGGGTGGTCATGAGTTATGTATTTGTGTATATTTGTGGTAATTATTGTATTTTTTTAACCGGACACACATACGCACACACAGACAACTACTCTTTATAAAGATTATTTATTCTTATAATATCTTAGAACTTTGGTATGGTTTGTTTTACGGCATATCAACCTCAATATTTAATGTCGACAAAATTTTTTATTGCTGGTAAAAAATAGCTGGTAATATTTCTTTCTTTCAAAAATATTTCTGGTAATATTTTTTTTTCAAAAATGTATTGCTGGAAATTATTTTTTTACAAATTATTTCTGGTATTAAAACCCATTTTTACAATTTAGTGTTTTGATCCCAGTTTGGGGTTAACTATTTGCCCATAACTGGGACCCTAACAGGTGCTACCACCCCGGGTCAGAGTGTACCTGGGAACACCAGCAATTAAGAGGTGGTTTCACGCTCCTCAAAACCTCCTGATCAGATGCCTTGCTGTTGGATGTAGTTTATCTTCTTACCCAAGACGCGTATGTACTTTATCGTCATACACAGGACGGAGTGGTTTGGAGCAGACATGTCAAACTCAGTGCATATGGAGGGTTCGCACCGGCCATATCTGCAGCCTCGAGGGTCACACCTGCTTACAGTCTTACATTAATCACAGCTAGTGGTAACTAAACTTTAAATACAAAATATTTACAATTCAACGTAATACAATTTAATCATTTTTTTATGTTGCCCTGATGATTGACATCGCTTTAGACAAACTATTCTCGATATATCAGGTTGGAAGGTCTGTATAGATCCCACTTTGATCAAAGATGACGAATGTTCACAGTTAATCTGGTTCCGTGAGACCTTTTGTGGCATTCATAAACGAAAATAATTGCTCACAGACATATGTGGAATCAAACATCGCAATATTGTTTGTGACAAACTTTCTGAAGTTCTTAAATGCCTGAGGAAGGTATGAAAAAATCCGGGTACCCCTACTTCTAGGTACTTTCCCTTGAGTGTTGAGTCAGTCTGCATTTCCAGTAGTTTCCATCTGTAAACTTTCTTCTGCCTAAGCAACATCAAAAGTGAATGGTGCTGAGAATAATGCAAACATCTTCACAAGATGAAAAATCACAAAATCTTTGCCAAGTATAATAATTACCTGAAATTGCACTCAAAAGAATTTCAGCGAAGATAAATACAGGCTCAGTATTGGCAGTTTTTTTTTCAACTCCTTGCACATAGGAAAAGGAATCAAGTTAGAATGTGACGACTGGGACTTCAATAGAACTAATTTTGCAATGAAATACTTGATATCATCATATAACTGAGTGATGAGCTTATTTTTACTTTGTAATTTCAAATTAAGGTCACTTAATTGGGCAGTAATATCCACTGAAAAAGATGGATCTTGGAGCTAGCTTTCACCTTTCAATTTATCTCCAATCTTTGACCCATTTCCAAAAACAATTTCGTTTCGCAATAAAAATCTTTTCAGTACCTTGTGACATGAAAGCCACCGAACTTTTGTGTAGAATTGGTCATTTGTGAACTGATTATTCACGTCTTCTAATATTTGGCTAAACTGATGGTGATGCAGAGCATGACCTCTGATGTAATTCACTGTTTTTGGGACAAAACTCAACACATGATCTAATTTTAAAATCTTAGGTACAAAAACACATTCAATCATTTTTACTGCATAATTCATCAACGGATCTTATATTCTAACTTGGCAGGAACACCATGATGTCTCCCAAACATATTTGCAGCACGATCAGTAGATAAACGCACAAGTTTACTCAAATCAAGGCCATACTCATGAAGAAGATGTTGAACTTTTTCAAAAATGTCATGGCTTGTAGTATCATGCATTGGAACCAGTTCAATTAGTTCTTCATAAATTTGAAATTCATTCTCACAAGGCCTGATGCTATTCCAGCTATGTCAACCGTCTCATCTAGAGCAAATAGAAAAATGTTCAAAACTTAATAAAGTCTTCAACTGTCAACTCAAATCATTTGCCATTTCATCAATCCGTTCATTGTTCCTGCTTAATGTCTTGAAATAA